TGAATTTTGAAAACTCAATACAGAATGCATTGAGTGCCTGTCAAGCAATCAGTGGACAGAGCACATATCAAAAAAAGTTTGCCCTATGTGTAAAAGTAAAAACATAGGAATTAGTATTTGTTGCATTTCTCTTCTTCTGCCTTGAAGTCAACCAATGGGTCATTTTAAACAGGAACTATGAGAAGAGTGCAAAGCAGATGCTGGACAGATAGGGAAGCCTGGAAAAGCTTCAGAAGAAAGGGAAGGCACTGGCCGGTGGTGTTCAAACAGGCAGTCACTCCCTTGACACTGAAGTCATCATAGCGGATCCCATCAATGACTCACGTGCCGCTGCTGCACACCCATGGGTGACAGGATGGGTGTAAAGCCTTTGGTATCTTCTGTTACCATGCATGTTCTATTGGGCTCTTCTGGTGTGTGTGTGTGTGTGTGTGTCTGTGTGTGTGTGTGTGTGTGTGTGTGTTTCTTTGGCTCTGGAGTCAAATTGGTCTGCTCCTAGTACTTGGCAACCCAGCAAGCTTCCTCCCACTAATGACAAGCCTGTCTGCAAAACAGAACAACATCTTTGAGATGGGGTGTTTATCTGGGCAGCATGCACCCTCTTTAGCCCATAGGGACCCCTCCTTCAAAGGCACTGCTGAACTGTGCTCACCTGATGAAAGCTGGGACTGTGTATGCTTGACTTGATTTACAGGCAGCAGCCAGCTCATTAGGCACAGTGGCCTGAGGAATCCAGGCTACCCCAGGACAAATGTTTTTGTAGCTCTGTGGTGCCCACAGTGCTATGTGCAGCTTGGGGGCCAGAGTACAAAGAGGGCAGTGATAAGGGGCTCTGAAATCTCATGCATGGCTCCAGGAGCACTGACTGCCCAGGAGATTGATATCTAGGGTGCAAAGGCTAAAAAAATGAGATTAATTTAGCTCAGCTGTGCTCGCTGAGGGATTGGGTTGCACTTGTGGCCGAGACATGAGTGATCAGACCTCAGAGATTGGGGGTGAGTGTGCAGCTGAAAGGAGGGAGTAAGATGGATTGCCTCGCAGCACGTCTGCTCCCTCGCAAAATGATCACCTCTAAAGGCAGGTTATCTTACAGATAACCCTATAAGATGCCAGCAGGCAAGCAGAGTATGTGTTCCTTGGGATATGGCTTTGGAAACTGGGAGCACTGTCTTCTGGGACAAATTGCATTGAAACCACTCCCAGCCTCAGTCTCAGTGATTGGATTCACTATAAAAAGCATAGCCCAGTGCCTAGCAGATAGTAAGTGTCCAATAAGTGGTAACTTTTAAAAGGAACCTTAATAAAAAAGGTGGAAGTTGGCACAGAAGAAGTTATGGGCTTTAGAATCAAGACTCATGAGAATTGTACATCCAGGAAGGTAGAGCTTTTGGGGAGAGCACCATGGTACATGGTGGGGTAAAGACTAAGGAGGATACTGAAGACCAAGTTCTTCACTGTCATGGCCTTGTCCAATGATCCAAGGGAAGTCACTTCCAGAACATTCGTCATTGGTAAAACATAGGCATCAAATTAGGTAATGAGTAGGAAATTTCACTGACAAGTGGAATTACCAAAGTCATGCATCTACTAAGTGGCAAAGGGGAGGACAAGTACCTATAGCTCCCCATCACCGAGTTACTGCCTATCCTGTCATATGCTCCACATTCCTACCAAGGCTAAGAAAATCCAGGTCCTTAATGGAACTCGGAGTGAAATCAAGGAATAACCACAAACCACTATTTAAACAGAGCCACAAAATTAAACATTTACAGATGGCGAAATTAACATTCTTGGATCAAGTTCACTAGCAAGCAAAACAGTGTACAAGCAGAACTGCTTTGATGTAGGTATTTATGGGATGATGGTGCACAGGAGGTACATTACCTCTCTGAGAACAGGAATCTCCTTTAATTGGCCCTGGATTCAACCAGCGCAGAAATATAAGAGGAAAGAGTTCTGGCAAAACCACTAATTTTAGGAGAAAGAAGCCATTATTAACTTTTTAGAGTGCTATATAAGTAGAATGATGGTGCAGAAATCAGACTCTGAGATAGGAGTTTTGAGTCCACGTGCCTGCAAAGGTAGGAAATTATCCAAACAAATGAAGGAGGCTGGGGATAGGAGGTAGAATAATGTTAGAGCTATGGCAAACCAAAAAAAGACATTGTATCAGCTTCAGCCAATCACAGCCACAAGAGGAGGAATAACCAACGTGGCTTGTTCTTACAATTTTTAAAGAAAAGTCAGGATTAGGATCTTATAGAAACCCGCTCCATTTTTAATGCTCACCATAGATTAAAACTCTGTTCGTTGTCTATAAAACATGAGTGTCTGGGCATCATTTGGTAATCTTTATCTGTGGAGGTGGAAAGGAAGTAAGGCAGAGACCATGAACTGGAGATCTAGGTGTGGAGCTGAGGTGGAAAGGAATAAGAATAAAAGCTACAGGAAGCATAGGACAACTGATGCCCAGTTTGGTTTCCCACTGTGGACGTGGAGGCAAATGAGAAAATGAAAATGAGAAGCAAACTCATTTAATTTTAATTAATCACCTTGGCAATTTTAAAAACCTGGCCAATAAACAAGACCAGTTAAAGAAGCCAAGAGATGGCAACAAGGAGGGCAACAGGTTGACAGAAAATGTTTCTACACCTCAGATAGCCCACGTTTCTGTTGGTCACATTGAGCGTAAAGAGGAAGACAGAGCCCACCCAAGGGTGACTGACACATCACAGGCCAGACACAAAAGTCGCTGTCATGACTTGGGTGAAGAAATAAGACCAAAGTTCAATTGCTGGCTTCTGTGTGAACATACAGATACTGTTTGAAGTGGAGCCAAACAGTATCTATAATCACATTTTCCTTTTTGTTGATTTCCCTACCCCTATTTTAATAATTATTATTCATAGACAATTTCTAATTATGCCCCAACTTCCGCCAGAACTCTGAGTCGTCTCTAAAATGGCCATTCTTTGGGTTTGCCAAGCAGCTGTGACCCTAGGTGTTCACCATCAAGCTGGGAGTGTCCTTTGCTTCCTCTGTCTTAAGCCTTTTAGATCACCTGTGACTTTTCTGCTTTAACCCCACATATCTATGGAGTAAACATCCTTCCTATGACAAGACGCAAACTTCTCATAATGAGAAAAGTATTCATATTTTTAGATATTTGATGAACAGTGTGGAAACGGTTTTCCCTCGGGATTGTGAAGGCATTATTTCACTCTTTCAATTTTTGGCCCCGCTGTGATCCTTACATGATGTGCTTTCTTTCTCTCAATAAAAGCACAGATTATCTTTACAAAAATGTGTCAAAATTTCTGATTTATAAAGGCTGGTCTAGGTCATAAAGTTTGGTCCAGTTTTGAAGATTGGCAAAAATAACTTCGTGCTTCAGTAGGGATTACACAAAAGGGGAGTTGCTTATGAAACAAAGCCTCTCCTGTTAGGATGACTCCCTGATGCTTCTCTAGTCAGTCACAGAAGCCAACCCAGAAGTTCTTCTCAACAAAGTGCACAGAACAAGGAATGGTCAAAGCTACGGAGCATGGGCATGCAGGCTCTCTGCCACCTGCAGGATTCTGGTGGTCGGGGTGGGCACATCAGATCCAGGGAGCACCTATGAGCCTGCGCAGAAGGCTGTTGTGTCCCAGTAACATCTGTCACCAGCCTCTTTCCTATTCCTCATTGGTCCCTGTGGGCCTTTTTATCCCCCCATTTATTGTTCTGAACATTTAGTAGGTCTTTCAGACTGGGTACATTTGTCTTTTGGTTTTGGTTCCAGGAAATCTTATTTTATTGTTTATTTAATAAAACTGGCCATCCCTTCTCCCTTTCTGAAACTCCTACTAGTCAGAGGATATCACATGCTTTAATGCTCTGATTCAAAAACTATTTTCCAGGCTTTAGATTCAAGTGTTTGGATTTCCTTAATTTTATCTTCAAAATTTCTGTTGAATCATTCATTATCAGTACTTTATTTCCAATGGATCCTTCATATTCACAAAATATATATACATGTATATATACATATCTGGGCATAGTATATGTGGTATACATTATATAACTGTGTAGTAAAATGTTACCACATAATATATCACATCTCATACTATATATATTTTTCTCTGTGTTTGTACATAGAAGGGACCAAAGGGACCACTGTGTTCAGAATTATAAGAGAAAAACAAAAGAACAATAGGGCCAATGAGTAACAGAGGCTGGCAAAAGATATAACTGACACAAAATATTGCTTCTCAGCCTTCTGGCTAAGATCAAGTGTAGTGACAGACACAAAACAGATTCCTCTATCTGTGTGGGAATAGTAGGCTCCCAGGACTTCCTGCACATACACACACACTGTATGAAATATGTTATATAGTACTATGTTATGCAGATGTTATAAACTATATTAAATATGCAGGAAAGGGTGTTAACATATAGTAATGAATAACAGCTTTTACACTACATAATTTAGATGAACAGATATATGCATAGGCAGACATATTCATAATGTCAAATGAAAATGTGTCATCCTCCAGCTCACTATCTCTGGGCCCTTGTTGTCCTTCACAGAACACCACAGCTTGTTCTACTACTCATAATCCCGCATATTTTAACACAGGAGTCATTTTCACTGTGTCCCATCAGGAGAGGGAAGGACACATTAATTCACTGAACTTACTTTTCCTCAGCTCTTGGTCTTCCAGTGTTAGGTTTATTACATAGTTACTCACCAACACTGCTTCAAGCGTGAGAGCAGAACTCCATACTGCTGCTCATCCTGCGAATTCCTTTCTTGTGCTAGCCTCTGGGGTTTTAGTTACGGAAGCAGTCCGAGAACTACAATTATTTTTGGATCCTTCGTTTAAAATTTTATGTTTTGATCTGGTCTGGGAAGTATTTTCATCTATGACTCTGTGGTGGAAATATAGCTATTTACCCTATAAGGCATCACTTTTGTAAGATTTTTAGAATATATTTGGATTGTTTAAAAATAAATATCAGTGGTCACCTCGGCAGCACATATACTAAAGTTGGAATGATACAGAGAAGATTAAGCATGGCCCCTGGACAAGGATGACACAAATTCATGGAGTGTTCCATATTTTAAAAAGGTCTAAAGGAGTAGGGTAAGTGGGAGGGGTAGGGGAAAGGTAAGAAGGGAAAATAAAAAATAAGAGAAAAGGAAAAAACTGGAAACAAGGTCCTTGTAAATAGGTAAGGGTGGAAGGGGTAAAGGAAGGCCAGGGGGATGGGGGAAAAAATAAGAACCAAGATACATCATGTAAAGGCACAAGATCCCAATGATGAGTGTAACTGTACTGTGTGCCTAAAATGTAACAATAAAGAAAAAAAAAGATATCATATCAGAAAAATAATGGATTTTTTTAATGTGAGCATTTTCTTTTCATTTTACCAAGAAAAGCCTATGTTAGACCTTGAAGAGACCTAAAAAAAAATATAAAAGAGCTTTGGTATCAATAATTAGCATTAGGTAGTACAGAAAACATTTTAATGTGTATACTTGCACATATCTATCTACACACATATACAAAATGTGCAAAAATTAAGTCTTCAACCTATCAGTTACTTTTTTTAATGATTAAATATTTTATTTTATTTTTTAATTGAGTTTATTGGTACATTTTAAGTACACAGTACAGTTACATTCATTATTGGGAACTTGTGCCTTTACATGACAGGTCTTGGTTCTCATTTTTTTCCCTTGTCCCTGCCCTTCCTTCATCCCCTCTTCCCCTCCCCATTTACTTTATTTCCATTTTTTCATTTTCTCATATTTTTTCTTTTCCCTTATTCCCTTTCCCCTACCCTTCCCATTTTCCCTACACCTATAGCCCTTTTCTTCCTATTTCATATTGTCAATTATCTCATTAGGATCTTATGTACTATTATAGTTTTTCACACCAGAGAAATTATTCAGTATCTACACATGTGTGACTTATTTATTTCACTTAGGAGTATATCCTCAATATGCATCCATTTCCCTATGAATGAATCTAATTTCTCATTCTTTATGTCAATTACTTTTAATGAGAAAGATATAAATTATAAATACAGTAGGAAATAAAAATTTTAAATGGTAGACTTAATACCACTTAAAACTGTTTAAACTACTTGATATTATTTCTGCATAATATACATTGTAGAACTATATTTTTATTTAACATGTATGTTTTTGTTTGTTTGTGTTTTGGGTACCAGGGATCAAACTTGGGCCTTTGCACTTGAGAGGCAGGTGGCGGAACCACTGAGCCAAATCCCTGGCCCAAACATGTATATTAATTAAATATATTCCTAATTTTTAAAAAAAAGTCAGAAACTGTGAGTCTTTATAAACAAAGAAGAATAAAAACACTTTAAGTTGCTTATAACAGGCAGACTAAATTAAATGTTTGAAAATGGCTACACTTTTAGAAATGACCAAAAGTTCTTTCTGAATAATTCTGTAGATATCTGGTATTTACATTGGCTTTTTTTGTTTGTTTGTTTGTTTGTTTGTTTTTGTTTTACCATTTACATTTATTGATGGGATGGATAATACAGATTGAGAAACATACCTGACAGCAAGATATCAAACTGAGAGCCAGACTATAAAATGTACACATCTTTCAAATTTTTTAAAAAATTTTTTGAATTTTTTACAAAGAGCCCTTATGATAATGGTCACTTACATCCTATCATTCATATAACATAACAGCAGGAGAGATCTCAAGAGTAGCATCCAAAACTGAGGTGCCCCAAGGAGAACAGAGGCAACTGCAGAATATGCTAAGGACTCTTAAAAGCAATACAAAGAAACAGACAAAAAATCTTACCACAAAATTGTACCTGAGTGACATAAACCTGTAAAATGTTTTACTTTTTGTTTTTCTTTTTTGCTCTTTGGTCTGATAAGAAAATGGACAGTTTTAAGTGTGTGAAGTATACACAGAAACCTAGGTTAACTCTAAACAGGCAGCTGCATTCTTTTCTTTGGGTGCTTAAGCCAGACAGCATGTCTACTTGCAACCAATCCCATTATGATCAATGACTAATCAGTTCCTTGGCTTTTACTGAAGAGTTCCCAGTTACCCAATGGAGATGTACTTGCTCTGGCTTCAATTAGCATGCTGTCAAGCATCCCTCTCCAAATGCCTGCTTCCATTCTTTCAAAATGATGGGACAAATGGATTGAGAAATATTATATTCAGAGGTAATTTTATTAATTAGGATATTTGCTTATCTAGGTTAAATCAAGTAGTTTTTTGCCCTAAAATAGTGTTTTCAAAAAATTACAGAATAAACAAAACCTTTCAAAATACGTCGTTGTTTTCCAGAAAGTTTTGCAGAACATAGAGTCCCAGAGTTGGAATATGTACCGTGCAGCTGAGCGCCAATCTGGAGCTTAAATTCCTTGGTATCAGTTAATTGGAGATCATTTTCCAAGTTGTTGGTAAAGTTTCTATTCTTCAGAAGACATGTACTTGGAGACTCTTACATAAGATACACGAATAAATAGCTACCGAATGGATATTCTTCTAGAACACTTGTTTTTCATGTGCTTTATTACTTGTGGTGATGGCTTGATTCAGATACTATACGAATGTTAGGGTTTCTTTCTCCTTTGGGCTCCAGCTTACATTGGTTCACTCTCAGGATACGCAGAAGGATCCATTGTGTTTCTTTCTAGTGGTAGAAAAGAAATAAACAAGAATAAAAGACGTCTTTATAAAATGTCCAGGTGAATTTTTCCAAGCCATCTCTAACTGGATATCATTGTTTAGCTGCTATTTTAAAATAATGATATTTCTCTGGAATAAGTTATGCAACGCTTTCCAATATCTATAGCTAGAGACGAAAGCAAAACAAAACAAGAGGACATCTTCAGTGGGGAGAGGAGAACTGTCTATTACTGTCCTCTGGTCAGATGAGCAAATTCTGCTCTGTCCCTGCAGGAAGGAACTCACTACAATGACAACCTCGTTATCAAACATTTAGAAATCTATGAGGATTTCAAGAAAATGCACCACAAATAAATAAACTCATGGCGGTTATCTACACTGAAGCACTTTCTTGTTCATTGTATAGCACTCTCCTGCCTCAAATTCAGAGCTCTCCTGAGAGTCCAGGTTAAGTGTGACCCTTATGATATGCTAAGGTACATACCATTTCAATAAAGTATTTTCTAAACCTGAAACATATAAAATGAATAGTTGGTTTGAAATGTCATACCTAAATTATACCTAAATTCTCTCTGCTAATAATACTCATCTAATAGTTAAAGCAGCATCAGATGAATTTTACATTATTGTATAATCACTGGCATGTAAAAAGTATAGCTCAAGATTTAAAGGAACTTTTTTAAAAGAAGACAATTGTAAAAGTATATGTTGCATGCTCCTCTTTCTTGTTTATTTTCCTTCCATAGAATGTAAATCATGTTTTAAATCCTGGGTAGATCTGCTTGGACCACTTGCTCTTACTGTCTCTCCCCAGATAGAACATGTCACTGGGGGAGGGAACAAGTATGCAGAATTTTGTTTTTTTTTTTTGTACCAGGGATCGAATTTGGGAACTTGCACTTGTGAGGCAGGCTGTGGAACAACTGAGCTACATCCCAGGCCCTTGGGAACAAGTATAATAATCATATGATTAACTAGTTCTTTGCTGAAGGGAATATCTACATCTAGTCAAGTCTGACTTGGTTAGTACTATATCTTCTTTAAAGGATAAGATATTTTTATCATTCTTAATTTTAATGTGTATTAATGAGGTCTTTCTTACCTATATATGTGCATACATCACATATGCATATATTATACTATATATTATATAATATTATTCATTATATGTGTGCCTATCTATTACATGTGGTGGGTGTATACAGGAAAGCAAATTAACATATCCATTATTTCATATAGTTACATTTTTTTTTCTTCTTTGCAGTAGGAGAATCTAAAATCTACTCCTTTAGAAAATTTCCAGTACACAATATTTTAACTGTAGCCCTCATTTCATCTCTGGTCTTATTCATCCCATGCAACCACAACTTTGTGTACCCTTTGGCCATTTCCCCTACCCTGACCTTTGCCTCCTACCACTGTTACACCCTTTTTGATGCATATTAATCAGGTCTTTCTGATGAGAATTTATCTCTCTTCTTCATTTCAAATGCATTGCTTTCACCTAGGTAATGTGTAAGACACATAAAACTGTTGGTGAATCTTTGGTGTATTTGCATGGGAGCTGCAAACACAATTTCTCAGATATCAAACTGTCAAGGAAGCACCTATACTCTCTGGGTTCATGTACCTGTGCTGTGTGTAACATGATGCCAACTCCAGTTTGTTCAATTAGATCCCACTAAACTGAGATAACATCACAAAAGATGTCCAAGAAGCATCACCCGAAGGAGGCAAGTGTTATGAGACAGATACACCCTCCTGTCTTTCATGCCAGATCCCCATGCCTCATCATGAGGCGTAGGCTTCCACAGCGGTTGATGGGGATTATGATGGATTGGCATTGGAGAAGGTATTACTTTCATCTACACACTTATCTCAGGGATGGGGCTGGAGAGCTTGGAAGCAACATGACTTTCTCATCACCTGTGTTCTCCTTGCATAAATAACCCTGTAAATAGCCAAAGACTCAAGATAACCACAGGAAGGAGGGACTGTATTTGTTATATTAATAGATAATTTAGTTTAGCACACATTCTTTCTCTTACTTCTATCCAGCAGGAAGTTCTGTGACATGTCAGGGCAAGCTTATGTCCCGTGGACATGTTTGAGGGAGCAGAAGTCTGGGGCTGGGAACAAATTCGATATTCTTGGAGTCAAAAGTTCCCCAATCCCAAAGCACCAGAGGGCCAGACACTGGTGCTTGAAGACCTAGAAGTGGTTCAGACAGCACTGAACCCAAAGCATCCAGGTACGTGGCAGCAGGATGGGTCCTGCCTGTAGAGCAGGGGGCAAAGATGGCATGGAAAAAGCCTCCTTTTTGTCTCTCATGCTGTTTTCCACTCCCACCTTCATGAGATGGGAGTTGTGAAAGCTGCTGAAAAGGGTTGGGAAACGGTAACAGGAGCTTTTCATTTATATTTTCAA